TTGCGCAGCGCAGAGTAACGCGTCGTGTGTGTGTGTGAGGGGAACAGGGTCACATCACAGGAGTGTGAACTGTCTGTCAGAAATCATAGCACGTCAGCTGTCTTAACCGCGGCTTGTGTACTGCATCATCACTGTGTCTGTCACGCGACTCTGTTGCCCTTTCGGTCTTGAACTGATGGTAAAACTAACCACATTATTAACAGTCTTGATATTTATTTTGAAAGATGAAGCTTGCGATTATGATAAGGGGCGTTACATTTCCGACGCGTGCTTGTGGCGTTCGGCCAATCACAATGCACTGGGTCAGCTGGCCAATCAGAGCAGACTGTGCTTGTCAAAGGAGGGGGCTTTGTAGAAAACGAAGCGTTTGAGAGAGGCGGGGCATAGAGGACCTACAATAATGTACAGTATTTGAAAAATAATGTGTTTTTTGAACATTAAAGCATGTCAATATATTCTGTTACACCAAATACACAAAATAATGATCTTTAAAATAGCATCATATGACCCCTTTAAACGAATCGAAATGATTCAGTGAGCCATTCATAAGGCAGTCACTTGCTTCGTTTCTGAATGTATCAGGTATCAGCAGTTTGAACGAATCGATTGAATGAATGAGAATGACTCCCTTATAAAGACAGGGATTTGCCACCACCTACTGGCGCTTTTAGTTTTATATTTAGAGTAGGCCTATCATTTCTTTTTTTAAATAATTTAATATTTTACTATTTATTTGTATTTTTGTATGTTGAATTAAAATATTTCTTTCTAAAGCTACTTTTTTGTAATATCTATTCATTGTTTTTTTTTTCTAAATTAACACAATGATAACCATTATCTTTAATAACTTTATCTTTAATTAATCAGCATGATGTGCATGTTAAATAATTAATCTCAGTTATTTAAGATTAATTCGATTAATTAATCGGCACATTATGTAATTAATTAGATTTAATAATTTTAAAACATAAAAAATACCGAGTTTGTATCAGGCAATTCTGAGAGAAAAAAAAAAGTCAGAATTTCGATTTTGTATCTCACAATTCTGAGGGAAAAAAAAGTCATAATTGCGAGAAAAAAAGGCTTCCAGGCTTTCTACCTTGATTCTGTTGGTAGCTGCTCAAATTCATTGCTGTCTTTTGTACTAATCATGTTTTCTAGCATTCGTTTTCTTTGTCTTCTTCTCTGTTGTGCTTTTCTCCATTGGTCTCTCTTGCTTTGTTTCTCGCGCTCACTCAACTCTGCGACTGGTTTCACCTTTCCATGTCTTATTAGGCTGTACCAGGCCTCTCTTTGCTTTTCTAAATATTGTGCCCTTCTTGAGGGATCAGCATTGCGTCGAGCCCGGTATCTTCGCTGTTTCTCTGCTGCTGACATCAACAGAAATCATGGAAAGTGATGATTATGTACTTACTGTTTTATAATAATGGATCATGTAGGCTATATTTGGAGAAACCTTTCCAAATTTGGGGTCAGTAAGATTTTTGGTTTTGAAAAAATAATTAATACTTTTATTCAACAAGGATGCATTAAATTGATCAAAGTGGCATTTATAATGATACAAAATAATGCTATTTCAAATAAATGCTGTTCATTGAAGTTTCTACTCATATAAAATCTATAACAGTATTAAGCAGCACAACTGTTCAACAGTGATAAATAATAACAATAAGAATGTGTTTCTTGAGCTGCAAATATTAGAATGATTTCTGAAGGATCAGGTGATACTGAAGACTGGAGTATTGATACTGAAAAATCAGCTTTACCATCACAGGAAAAAAATTACATTTTAAAATATACTCAAATAGAAAACTTTTTCTGTTAATTCCAATAATATTTCACAAATCTTACAGACCCCACTATGAACAGTAGTGCAAGCTATACAGTTAAACTATTACAAGTATAGTTATATATAAACCACGACATACTAATATACTGATGAACATAGTTGACAGATAGCAGCTAACATACTTGTCTTATTTTGATCAGACACATGGCATTTTTGTATAATAACATAATATAATCCACTTACCAGTTTGTTTTCAAAATGTCTGTCACTGAAAGGCAATAGATCACGTGATACAGGTCAGATGGTTTTGGGACAAACTATTGCTCAGTTACATGGGGGTGTTGTATTAGTAACTTAGTTGACAACACAAGATATTTATTATTCTTAATAATAGAAAAAATATGATTATTGTATATATATTAGATAATACAAATAGTGTTTAATGTTCTGTCCTTTTGGTAAAAATTTGACAAGCTTAGAAATTCATTAAAAATCATTGAAAAATTGTATAGTTTTATAAATAATATAATAATTTATAGCATTGGCAAACAGGCAACTCAATGGCAGATGGCTTAAAGGGTTAGTTCACCCAAAAATGAAAATTATGTAATTAATTACTCACACTCATGTCGTTTCAAACCCGTAAGACCTTCGTTCATCTTCGCAACACAAATTAAGATATTTTTGATGGAATCTGAGAGCTGTCTGACCCTGCATAGACAGCAAAGCAACTGAAATGTTCCCAGGTCCAGAAACGTATCAAGGAGATCGGTAAAATAATCCATGTGACATCAGGGGTTAATCGGCAATTATACGAAGCTACGAGAATACTTGGTGCGCAAAAGAAGAAAAAAAACGACTTTAGGGCTCTACAGGGTGATGCAGAGATGACGAATTGTTGAATAAAGTCTTTTTTTTTTTTATTGTGCGCACAAAAAGTATTCTCGTAGCTTCGTATAATTACGGTTGAACCCCTGATGTCACATGGATTATTTTACAGATCTTCTTGCTATGTTTCTGGACTTGGGACAACATTTCAGTTGTGTTGCTGTCTATGCAGGGTCAGACAGCTCTCAGATTCCATCAAAAATATCTTAATTTGTGTTCCGAAGATGAACGAAGGTCTTACGGGTTTGAAACGACATGAGGGAGAGTAATTAATGACAGAATTTTCATTTTTGGGTGAACTAACCTTTTACGAAAGAGCTCAAGTCTGTAAGTTGCTCCTTTTACAGCGGTTCAGTCTCGGTGAAAGTAGGATATGTTCCCATTCAAATGCTGCCTACAATAAAAAAGTTAATGGGTTAATAGCAGGGCATGCTCTGTTTTGGACAGGTCATGATGTGCCTGTGGTTAATGAAGCTTTAAGTTTTTTATAGCCTCTTGCACAGAGACATGAGAGCATCCTTATTTTCAATACTTTCTTCCTCTAGTTCTCTTTTCACACACTGGCCATGTATTTGATTGCTTCTCACTGACTGCACATGAAAATCAACATAACTTAAATTAAACAGGTAACTGTATAAGGATTCAGTCATCAGACAAGCCATGAGTATGTTTATCTTTATAAATCATCAGCAGATGCAAAAGTGATGGCCTTAGAAATGCTTTTTTTTTTTTTTTTTGAGGTAACATTTTTATCAGCTTTTTTCCAAAATTCTTCAGAATTTCTTTAACACAGTATTTACTGCTAGCTGATGAATGACGCCTCATGGGTTAGTAGTAGAGTTGTCTGACATCTAGTGGTTCATGTCTTGAGGGGGAAAACAAACAATTGTAGGACTGTTCTTTAGAGATTTTATTACATCAACAAATGTTGATATATAAAATACGTAGCCATATTCAAATGGCCATTTTTGGGGGGATGCTGAAGTGATCAATCACAAACCGAGGAGAGGCATTATGGTATATCCAGGTCTGATACTGCAGCAAAAACATAAGTGCATTTGCAAGTATTTGCTAGGATATTACTTTGGTTTACACTGATATTTCTAGATAAACAAACATAGACCTATTTGATTCATTAATTAGTGAAATATAAATGTCCAAAATAACTGTAGATTATATATTAATAACTGTAGATACATTTCAGATTTTCTGAACAAGATCAGTTTAACATTCAGTAATCACAGGCACTCCACTGTAAGATGCAGAAAAATCAATCCTGCAAGCCCACACAACACAAGCAAGTCTTTCAATGCATTATTATTAGGTAAATAAAGTCATATATTCTTAAAGTGTGCTTCAAAAATTATATTTGGATCAAAACTTACTGGATCATCACACCGGTAATCTTGAAATGTTTTCAGATTTTTATAGTATTTTACAAAATGCTATAGAGAGTGAAGGCACTTGCAAAAACTTCCCAAAAAATGTCCAAGCTCACATTTCAGAAGAAAAAAATTATTATATATCAGTAATGACAATAGTTATATTATATATATATACATATATATATTCATTACCATACAATATGTAATATATTTCTTTTAAAATTAGCATAAATTAAAAACCACAATACTACCCCTGTATATAAATATGTTTTAAAAATACAATTTAAATAATAATATATCATTATTTTCTCCCTTTTTTTACATGAGAGTTGGGGGAAATATAATGTCATATCAGAATTTTTTTTTTAATGATCCTGAACACAAGCTTAATTTTCTTTAAAGATTTTATAATTGACTTATTTTGGTTTTGGGATGAACTATGACCGAGACATGCTCTTGAGAGTTTTGCGAACATTGTATTAGTCACAGCATAACAGAAGAAATATTTCTGAACATCTGATATGTTGTTGCTTTGAACTCTTTTAAAAATTCAGCTGAATCCATATAACTGTGTAAAGGGTGCGTCCTACACTAGGTTAAATATAACCCAGCGCTGGTTTAAAAAGGGACAAACCCAGCTATATAACCCAGCGGTTAGGTCAAAACAACCCAACTGCTGGGTCAAAACAACCCATTAGCTGGGTTTGTCCCTTTTTAACCCAGCATTCTTTAGAGTGTATGGTACATTTTGAGCATGACAATACCAGAAAGACTTTGGGTATCTAGGCAGGATGGTGCACAGTGTTTCTCTTTAAACTGAGATTGAACCTTCCCTAAAGTTAGTTTTTCCAATCAGAACGTTCAGCAGAACGGCCTTTCCCTCTCTGCACTCCTTCTGCGCCTTTTTAAAGATGTCATCAAGCTGCGACTCATCCTCTCGGCCAATCAGGTAACCTTTGCCCCCGTAACCATCGGCTACAATATGGTAATCTGCAAGGAAGAGGTGGAACGGAACAGCATGTGAAGCAACTCCTCACTATGATTGATGAATATACCTAATAAAAGAGCTTAATCATTACATTAAACACTTTTGTGAACAATAAGACAAAGTGTTACAAATGCAGTGAACAAGAGTTTAATTATTGCACTGCACCAAAGCCTCTCACCTGTAAAGGCCAGACCGCAGGCTACGTTGCTCCCGAGCATAGGCACTTGTTCTCTGGAGATCTGACTCCAGCATGCATCATTTCCCACCAGAGCGATCACTGGGGTCTGACGTGAAACGGCAAGGCAGTCATTAGAGGTTTTCAAGAGAAAAGCAAGAGAAGCCACAGCAAGGATGTTTTTGAAGGAATATTCCAGGTTAAATTAGCAGCATCAAATTCCACTGAGAATACCCAAGTTGGTTAAAACGAAGTAGTGTTGATAGTTGTGAGCTAACAATGGAGGTCTATGGGCAAGTGTGCAATTTTTCATTTTTGTCCCTTTTTTTTCATTTTTGCTGCCTTTGTGCTTGTTTATATCTAAATAAAAGTCTAAATTAAATCTGTTTATCATGTCTCATACTCATATTAAGCCACTCAAGTCAAATGACATCTTTAACTTTTTGAAGCATTAAAGTTTTGGTGAAATGGACTTTCAATGGAGGGACAGAAATGCCTCAGGTTTCATTAAAAACATCTGCATTTGTGTTTCGAAGACGAGCAAAAGTCAAGAGCAAATTTATGACATCATTTTGGGTGAACTATCCCTTTAAGGGGTTGGAAATGTTGTGCATTTTTACAAAACACATTCTACTACATTCTGAACTTGATGCTGTAAAAGTCAGTGTTTTAAGGGTTGGTACCTTGTGACGTGTGAAGGTATCAAATTCAGCCACGCTATATCCGAGTGAACCATCGCCGTAAACTATCCATACCTGTAAACAAGATATTGGCTATGTTCACATGCTCCCTTATAATGTGATTAAAGTATTGTGCATAAAATGGAGAGCTTAGTGAAACTTGATTTTTTTTAAAAGAAAAAATATTTGATTTAAAATCTTACCTCAGACTCAGGTCGACAAAGCTTTGCTCCCAGAGCAAAACCTCCTCCAACACCCAGAGTCCCAAAGGCCCCTAGTGAAAAGAGAAGCCACAAATCATAATGAACACAAATACTATGAGTGGATTTGACAAAACAGAGCTGGAGATTATTATGGAATTAGATTATACCAAAAGTGAACATAACTCCAAGAATTGAACAAAAATATAACAACACTTTGAAAAAAATAAAAAATAAATGAACTCAATGGCAAAAACAAGCATGTTATATAAATAACTAATTAAATAAATAAAATAAATTTATATTAATAATTCATATTAATAAAAATTATGAATCTGCTGCCACAGTTCTTTTATGCTTTCAATGTTTTTGTCATAATACATGTTATTAACCCAGTTAAGAAAATTATGTTGCTTGTCAGGACCAAAGACGAATGTATTAAAAATTATTTCAATATACAGTGGGTACGGAAAGTATTCAGACCCCCTTAAATTTTTCACAATTCTGTCTCTGAGCTCTTCAGGCAGTTCCTTTGACCTCATGATTCTCATTTGCTCTGACATGCACTGTGAGCGGTAATGTCTTATATAGACAGGTGTGTGGCTTTGCTAATCAAGTCCAATCAGTATAATCAAACACAGCTGGACTCGAATGAAGGTGTAGAACCATCTCAAGGATGCTCAGAAGAAATGGACAGCACCTGAGTTAAATATATGAGTGTCACAGCAAAGGGTCTGAATACTTAGGACCATGTGATATTTCAGTTTTTCTTTTTTAATAAATCTGCAAAAATGTCAACAATTCTGTGTTTTTCTGTCAATATGGGGTGCTGTGTGTACATTAATGAGGAAAAAAAAATAACTCAAATGATTTTAGCAAATGGCTGCAATATAACAAAGAGTGAAAAATTTAAGGGGGTCTGAATACTTTCCGTACCCACTGTATATGGATATGTTGTTTTAAATGGATAAAAAGTGTGTAATGAAGTTTACAAGTGCTGTTATGTAAATTAAAAAAAGCTTGAATCATCTTACCTTGTGAGCATTTGAACAACTTGCATAAGAATCTACAGATTCAGACATAACGGAGGATAATCCTATGGAATCACAACCACAATAACTGTGACGGCTCTGCCTCTAACCTGGGTCCAGCCAGCGGAGCGGGCCCCAGGGTCTCATGATATATGCAGCACTGCCAACAAAATCACCCCCATCAGCCACTATGATGCTGTCCTCAGCCAAGAGCTCATCCACACGATGCAAAACACTCAGAGGGTTCAAATGCCTCTCTGTCTTCTCATCTGCTTTTGATCTGATGGCAAAAACTGGCATAATGAGAAACTAAACAGGTAGACAACATCAAACATAGCCAAAAGTATATGGACAGACACCCCTTTTAAATATCAGGAGGGAACACTGCCAATTGTTTGGATGTCCATATGTTTTTGGCCAAGTAGTGTAGGCCTGATTCTCTCTCCAGAGACAATGAGTCCAAGCAGCTGAGATAAGATAACCTGTTAGCTTTCTCTTTGATGGCATCTGCCTCTTTCAGGCTCCTAGGCCATTCCTCTGGACATCTGTGTCCCTTCAGGGCTTTCGAGAGATGCAGGAGGAAAGAACCAGCATCACCTGAATAAGTTATGAAAGGAAACCTTGTCACATAACATTTATATATTATAAAAATATATAAACTGTACTATAAATACATAGTTCTGGCATGAAACTCTAGATTGCGCAGTCCGATAGGTCTAACTCAATCTGACCCAATGACATCATTATCACATGGCACAGCTGATTGGTTCTCTCCTGTATCGGTAGCCAATGAGCTCGCTGCTCAACATTCAAATATATGACTAGTGCTTGCCGTAGCAGTTGCAGCTTGCTTCAGAAACCCTCCACCTTCCCCAGCTCCACCTGTATAGATCTGCTAAGAGGTGATTCATGTATGCTATATGGGGGTTATTTCATGTATGATATATTTGCAGCAACAATATTTCTAACATGCTCACAGCAGCATGTTGTGGATGTATTGGCAGTAGCAGTAGGTACTTGCTCTGCCGCAGCAGCAGCATAGCAGATTTATTCCGCCAAGACCAAATACATTAACATTGTCATGTACATTACCATGCCAATCCCTCCGAGAGTTGTCATGACAGAATATTATGTAAAAGTAAAACGCAGCTGTTTACCTTGAATGGCCACTGTTGGCTTCCAGAACATGTCTGAGTTCTTTAGTAACTGACTCCTGTCTCTGTTGACAGCTATGATTTTGCTCCGTCTGTTCAGCACTCTTCCGTAACTCAGTCTGAAATCACACACCGTGCCTATGCACCAAAACAAACACATTCAGGAACAGGAACTACGCAAAACCCAGAGTTCCCACACTTCCCCACTTCACACAAAATTAAATATTTTATAAATAATTCCATGACTTGTGTATGTATGAAATGTATTAACTGACTTTTCCAGGCATGGAATCACAACTTTAAAATTCCCTGAGATTTCCAGACTTTCCAAACATACAGAGTATGTGTATGGAAAACATTTCTGCACATATTCCAACAGTTGAGTAGGTGGCATTGTTTCCCACCTGCCAGCAGCACGAGGTCAGCATCTTTTAAGGCATCTCTCCTGTTTTGTCTAATGTGCAGTGGGCTGTTCTTTCCCAACATCCCTCGGGACATTCCACCTAGGAAGCAGGGAATGCCTAAAGATTCTAAAGCCTTTCTGTAAAAGAAGCATAGAAAAAAATCCTGACTAAAAATTGACTTCATGCACGTGTTATGGGTGCTTATGATCAATCATGCAAATCACTGGTTGTTGTTGTTGTTTTGGACTTGAAACCAAATGCATTTTTGATCAATGTAATCTATATATACAGTACCAAAAGTCAACAGTCTGGACACACATACTGAATTTACATTTCTTAGGATTGTAGAAATCCTTGTGATCTAAATGTTTATACTGAAATACATTAAATTGTTTGCATTTGTAGATACATTTACACAGCTGTGCCTCTGTATTAACAAAATAAGTAAATAAATATTTTTTAATCATTTTAATATGTTTTAAATGGATGAATTAGAGAGTGGGAAGTCACCATACATTACATTTTTCAATACGGTTTTACAGCATTCCAGGATGCATTTCATAAATCTAGGTACGTATTGCGAGACTAAAGACAAAATATAAGATGGTATTGATTTGTTTCACATTTCTGTTCACTACATAATTTGCATACTTATGTGCTATCTCATACTTATGTCTTTGAGCAGGTGCGTCCACATTTTTGACTGGCAAGGTATGAATTCATGTAATATGTAAATCTGGACTGGTGACCCAAAGGTCAGAGATTTACAGACCTGAAAAGGCGACCCCTGAACTGTTCAATGAACATTTGAAGAGACAGCTACTCATTTACCTGACATCATCCACTGGTGTAGGGGGCAATGTTGCCTGACTGCCTATCAGTATGACAGGTTTCTTGGCTCTGCTCACCAATTCCACACACCTTTGGACCTGGAAAGAGTAAAAGGTTAAGGGTCACTCAAAGTGCAATGTGATCTTATCTTCTGTATTTGGGGCACAAGTCAACATTTCTCCTTCATCTCTGAGCTTTCTTTCCTGGGGTGGTTGCATAAAGGTTTAGACTAGTCTTACAAGTTAGTCATCTATATATTTTTTTTTAACTGGTCATGTTTCTTTAAAGGTGGTCACTGGGAAGTTAGACTTCATAAGACTGATTGGTTAACTACTAGTTGGTCAGACTAGTTCTTAAGACACGGTCTTCACATAGAGGCTAAATTTATTCAACTGGCACCAGGTGTCGTTTATATAATGTGTAATATACTGAGACTGGATGATGATAATAGAA